TTATCTGATCATCATGATGATATGTCAAGGTTCCTGGTTCAAGGTTTAGTGTTTAGGGTTAATCATAGGGTTAATCATACGAGCCTGTTTGAGCAACCTTTTTCACTATGATGTCGTTTGGGCATGAGCTTTCGGCTGCTGTTCTTGCATTGCCTGCATAGACTACTTTGCTTTGCTAAGGCACCTGAGTACCGGAAGGTGGTGGATCTTCTGTACAAACTGGAAACTGAGGCCATGGCTGCCGATTATTTTAGGGAGGCAGCAGGAATTAGGGCCGACTTTTTTTGGTAGTCCTATAATCATGTATGTTTTGTTTTGGGGTCTATATGGGGCCACCTATTTATGGAAATCCTTTTTTGAGTCCTGCAGGCGGAAGCAGGCAACATATCTGGGCTTGTGCGGTGTCTCTTACTGGCGGTCACCAAACCGGGGGAATGGATTCCTTGCGTAGTCGGCGTAGTCCCTGTTAATCCGCTGTGGTTCCAGTCCCGCTACCCCATATTCCGCTAATCACTACATACCACTGGTGATGTGTCTTTTGCTCTCCGCCCCGAGCTTGGATCAGCAGATTCCTTTGCAAACACAAGATCCCTCGGATATCACCTTCACGACAGTTCAAAAGTAGTTGGATATAGTTGGATACATACAGAAGAGGCCGGACCACACCCATATGATTCCAATGTGCCCCCTGGGCCCCACGAAATAGAGAGGTTAGAAATTTGAGAAGAACCTTCAGCCGTAATCTCTGACTCTAAACTCTGAATCATTATCCCTACATAATCCTACATATCAAATCTATTTCGGGACAGGACAAGCTCGACACTCTTCTGGCTAGTGCCCAGGACATTGCGAAGTACATGCGGGTGTTCACGTGAGGAGTTCTCAAAATTAGGGTCCCGTTTTGGTACCCCTAAATCTTAGGTGCCAGAATACCCTAAACCCTACAGCCTTAAACCCTAGACCATATGACACCTAACCAAAAGGAGCCTATAATTTTGAGAATGACCCATGTCTTCAGCTTTGGAGCGGTCCATGCATCAGGTTTAGGGTTTAGGAAGGCAGCCGCCAAGTCGGAGGATTCGGATTATGATGATGTTCTTGCGACTTGTCCACACCTAGACCCTCCATCTACCGTCTAGACCCGGCTTTAGGGACCACATACCCCTATTTGAGGGTACAAGGAGGGTCCTGGAACCCCCACCTCTTCTCTGTGGGAGTGAAGGTCTGCCATGCAGCGTAGGCCCTATTCCAAGATCCGACAGAAATCTTTGCAGGGATCGCACCTTCAGTTCCTTGCGTCCGATAAACGTAGATATTCATAAATTATCCTGGATATCCAAAAAGCCTAAACTGGATAGTATTTAAAGACTCAGACTTCCAAAGTGGGTGTCATCATAAATTCTGATCTCCAGGGTTAGAGCTAATGCAATAGGATACGTGCTCCGAACTTTGGTGGCTTGTGCTGTAAGAACGCGTTGGAGGGTTATGTTCCCCAGTTTTGTCCGAAAGGGTCCATGTAGTTATATCGTAGTTATATAGTCTATACATGTCTATACTTAGGGCCCAAAGGGGTTCCCATATAACTACTGTAGGGCCCAGGCGTATATATACCTATATTGCTACATGAACCCTTTGAGTGAGGAACAGGAATTCAGGCGACCTCCCCAATTACAAGCCGCGTACCCCAAAGGACTACTGGCTGGGCCTCAACATTTTTGAGGTGTCCCGACTGGCTACTCAGTTGCAGAGATGCTTCGTTTGGCGAAATGATCCGACAACTCTATTAAAAGTGGGATTTTGAATATTAGGGGTAGGGTCCCCAAAATAAGTTGGATTGTATATTGGGGTCCCCTCATTTGGGGAAACTACAAGATGTTGCATCAGATGCCCACACTGTGCTAGAAGAATCCTCGTAAGCCATTTGGATAACAAATTTCATTTACTCATTAGTCAGCACCTGACGCTCACTATGTCACACCATGTCCCCTCGAAACCCAGTGACCCAACTGTCAAGCTACAGGTTCAGGGTTAAGAATTACGTTCTGAACACTATGGGCAATGGGCCTCTCTTGGAGTCTTTAGAGTATTCCGGATCCTAATATTTTGCGGGTATAGGTCCAGGCCCCACTTGGAAAAACTCCGCAATTTAAGAGCTGTCCCGCAGCATGCTTGCTCTTCGATATGGGTCTTTCTGAGTATGGGATCTGCATGTGGTAGCTATGTCTCCAAAGTAACAGATATATCTCGAAACAATACAAATCTAAGGTTAGAAGTATGGGCCCCTAATATGCGCCCTAAGCCTTTTAAGGGGATGCTAGGGACCCTTAAAGGTACATATAGGGTATATAGTAGGTATATAAGGATCCTAGGTTTAAGGGCCCATACTAGGGGCCCATGGTCTCAACCTTGGACTGCGCGGACTCGACAAAATTTTCTGAGATGCCCATTTGTGCTGTCTCCGTCCATAAACACTTTACATCTCCATTATCCCAATATAACCCCAATATAAACCCTATTATATTATAGTAGTTTCCATTTTCTTTTCCATTATCCCAATATAACAGCAAAAAACACTTTACATCTCCATTGAAATCCAAAGCAGGCCCATGAAGCATGTCGATTCCACGTGTAAAGGAAGACTACAACCCCCGCAGAGCAAGGATGACAAAGATCACCATTGAACCCTGAACCCTAAATATAGGGGTTATATAGGAATGATGGAATAGAAAATGGAAGCTAGTATTTAGGGTTGCCAGGGCCCAACAGTCTTGATCTGAAGTATGTTGGCGTATTGTTTCGGGATCAGTTGTACGAAGCTCCAACTTCCTTTTGCAAGAGCAGGCCTAAAGACAACAACTGGGCTTCGGGTGTAAGACTGAGGCTTGGGATTTGGGGTCTCGCGGGTTAGGACACTGTGCTCTTTCAATCATGGTGGTGCTCGCGCAGGTTGCTTGATGCACGTTCTAGTTTGGCGAATTTCTTAAAACAGCTTTGCATTCATGAGGAAGGCCCCCTATCAACGCTGCTCCATCACTTCTCTAGGGTCCCAAGGTCATAGGGGTACCGCACTTTGACAATGAGAAGCCGTCATTTCATCATGTTGGCTGATATGGGGGGTTGCGTACATAGGTAAGGGACCTCAACACATACCCCAAAATATTAGAAGCCTTCATTGTACAGACTATCCAAAAGGGACCCTTAATGATTGGAAACCTCCAAATAGCGAAAGCGATAACATCAGCTTCGGTGCAGTGAGGCCAACGTGTCTTCGGTCCTTTCAATCTATGGCTGTAAACCCCAATTACCTACAGGTTAGTGCAAGTGAACCCCCTAATTTGTAATGCAGACCCGTGATTCATGACCCATCCCCTTAATAGGGATTATAACAGGGATCCTAGCATTAAGGCCCTTGACAGGAGGAGGTTTGTTAATCACCCATCTACATGAGGTAAATGGGGTTACAGGTGGAATTATATAGGAATATACGGGCGATTTTTAGGCTTGGTGTTGGGATTGTATAGGACTATAGAACCCTGAAAAATGAAAAATTCCTTCCGGAGGGAATTAGCAAGTCTTTGTATGACCCAAACAGTCCCCAGTTATCTTCATTATTCGCCTGCTTACTTCGTCCCCCTTACCCTGAAAGATTTTGCAAAGCGGAAGAACGGAGGACTGCTGTAAGTATTTCGGTGCCTCAACCCTCAACCCCTAAATCTTAAACCCTATATAACCCCCTTGAAGGAGTTCAGACTGACTGTACCTTAACCTTTCACCCCTAAACCCGAAATCGAAAGCATTGTTTCAGGTTAAGGATGGACCCTTTGGGACCGGAACCCTTTTTGCGGCCTGGTAGGCGTACCCCTCGCTGCTCCCTGAGCTTCCCAGGCGATCCCAACACAGACCAATCCCTATAGCCCCCCTAAAGTAGATAGAACATGGGGTATATGGGGATCTTATTGTAATATACCCAAAGCCATACTCTATCTACTTAAGGGGGACTATCAGCTTCAACCTTTACAAGCCTTCAACCCTAAACGTTGAACTCGTCCCTTCACCCATCAACCACCCAAGGAGCGGGAGGAGGGACGACGAGTGGTCTCGAAGATCATCCGCAGGGATTGGTCCAGGAGTCCATCCATTTTCTGTAGGGGGAAAACTACCGTGATGGGTAATATTGGGGTTATATAGGGGTTATATAGGGGCTATATTGGGATTAAGGTTTAGGGTTTAGGGTTTAGAGTCTGGAGCACGGAGAGAAACCTTGTGCTATGTACCAATAAGTACGCGTCGCCATTAGTACATTTTGTGGATTTTTTGTCGCGCGGATTGTTTCAGGGGGATCTTACACCAGCGGTCTACTCGGATTTAGCAAGAATCATACCCGGATTGTAGGGCAGGTCCACTTCGGTGGTTAACAACAAGAGAAGACTGCTCAGTTTGTTGGAGCACAATTGGCCCTGTGCCAGCTTTGGACTGTTCCATGCCAGGTTTATAGAGGGACAACCTATCTTGTCATACGCAGACTTGACTCAGAATGCCCCGCATTGGGCGTACCTTTTCAGGCTCCTTTTCTGGAACTGCCATCATGACCTTATCGGGATGAGGTTGGGATCATGACGTGATATGACGTGTTTGTAGCGAACAATTACAGGATTCGAGGGTCCAGAGTTTCAGTGGTGGCTAATTAATTCACCACGCGACCTGCGAAAAGCACGAGAACCGCACGTGTCCAGAGTGGTATGAATGCAGTAGAGAAGAGGAAGATTTGCAGGCTGCCAAGGCACAACCCATGAGTTTTAGGTCAGGCAGCTAGTAGGAAAGCTGATGATATCAACATTAAGCTTCGCGACAAGACATCACTGCAAGGGGTCGTCCCGGTAGATACTCTTGAAATCTGAGGCGTGAGTGTGCTCCCATGCGGCTGTTTTGACTGAACAGGCCACGAGCTGGCAGAAGGGTCTTGTGCAAGCAGGTAAGCAAATAGTAGGAGTCTGCTAGCCATGGTTGTGCTGAAGATCAAAGCTTCTGATGGCCAGTTCTTCCGCTTCCGCACTGCGGAATGCACAATGGATGAAGTCGTGCAACAGCTGGCCTCAGTAGGAACGAGCAGAAATGCCGCGGTAGTCCTGCCGGATGGTTCGCGGAGGACTCTTTCACAGGATGCACTTCGAGCTGCTGTTCGAGCTGCTGCTGATGCTGCAGGTGATGATGAGCTTGATGCTGCAGGTGCCGAGCAGGTTGTGAGGCTGGAGGTGGTTGAGGAGGAGGATGAAGCTCTCCTATCACCTTTGGCCTCTGGAAGCCCTATTGCCTCGGAGTACACAGAGAGCATGGAGCTTGGCCCTGCTGCCAGTACAGCAAGCACGGAGCCTGCTTTCGTCCATCCGGTGAGCGCAGACGGTGACAGCCCCCATGAGCTTCCAAGACCTTCGGCGCCAGTGCTGATACAAGAAGCACATCCTCCTGTGCATGCCCAATGGGTGCAACAGAACACTGAACCGTTGCCCGTGTACGCTCAGGTGGCCGAAGGCTTTTACCCGCAGCAGCAGGCATTTCACGAGCATGTGTCTCAGCATCAGCAAGCTTTCCTGCAGCACGTCTACCATCACCAGCAGGCGGTGCAAGAACACATGGCTCAGCAGCGTCACGCCATTCATCAGCATCAGCAGGCAATCAGGGAGCACGTGCGTCAGCAGCGGGAGGCCGTCCGGGAGCAAGCACTCCGGCAGAGGGAGGCGATTCGAGAACATGCTCGTCAGCAGCAGTGTGCTTTCCAACAACATATGCAGCAGCATGTCGCGGGCCTGCAACCCTTTCTGCAGAATCTTCCGCAGCAGCTACATCAAGTCCACCAGGACGTGCAGAATCACGTGCAAGCACACTTGCACAATATGTTCGGCAGCAATGCGCAGGGGCCTCATTTGTCTTGGACCTTTGCAACTTGCACGAGAGCCCACTTTTGCTTTGCCCTCTCTTGAGGCAGAGCAATGTGCCGCCTGCCGGGGCAAACCATGCTGACTGGACGGAGTCCATGGGTCCTGCGGAGGCGGCTGGGGTTTCGTCGGCTTCTTTCCGGCACTTGTCTTGCAGCTGTGGCCGCTTCAGGGACCTAACATGTATGTGCATCCTCTACACCTGGATGGGCAGCGCCGGCACCTCAAACGGTGGCGGCTGCCCCAGATCTGAGTGGTTGGGATCCATGGGTTTTCATGATCAGGTAAGGTGCGAGTGTCTGCAGAAACCTCATGAGCAGCACTGGTGAGGATGCTCACCGGCTCCATCCACCTGAACAACAGCGACCTCATCCTTGAAGACAGCATGGTGACAGGCACCGCAAGTGACCTAAACTAGTTTCCATGTCATGTTCCATATGATTTTCCATTTAGATTCTCCATTCTTGGGCATATATATATGTATATATTTGTAGCCCCATTGTATACATACATACATACATACATACATACACATACATATATATATATACATACATATACATATACCTTTAAATGATCCCCAATACAACACAAGGCGTCCGCGGCTTTTTCTGGCTGCAGGCAGCTTGCACCTCATGGGGCATTCCCGTGTTCTCCTACGACGCGGAATGTTGACCGGGAGCGTCCAGACCCCGGCAGAACCCATAGGGTTTAGGGTTTAGGGTTCCCAAAGAGTCCATGTGGTAGTTTCCCGAATTAAGGGGACCCCAATAAGGACCCCAAAATACTATAATCCTGATTATGGGGACCTCTAATAAGGTACCCCTAATTTTGGGAAACTGCCACGTAGTTATGTCAGCTTTAGTCTAAACTCCTTAGAGGGAGGTTATAGAAGGGATTATATAGTCGACTACTATGGGGGTTAGTAAGGGGGATGCTAGGAGTTTAGACTATAGCTCATATGGCTCCCAAACTATTACTTTGGGTTCCAAGCATATATTGGATACAGCTACATGGACCCTTTGCACATGAGAGAGCTTGCTCATGGAACATCCTAAGCAGTGAGGAACCACCAACTTTCTGCGCTATGGTCTCCTTAGCTGGGCCTAGTCTTTGAGCTGTTTGAAGCGGGGTTTCGAGGTCAGTTTGGGTATTTCTTGATACTTTCTTCCACTTTGTAACTGATAGGCTCTTTTCGTGATCAGGTCATCCGGAGTGCGGACTCCTCCTTCGATAACCAGCAGGGCATGTTGACTGGCCAGGCAAGAGCAGCGCATCAGGAATTGCAGAAATGCATTGGGGCTATTTATTACGATCACATAATACACTAACCAGAATCAAGTGGAAAAGAATATTGAAGGCTACATGGACAGTGAGAAACATGTACGGGTCGCTTTTTGGGACTCCTTATCGTCGCAAGGATCATAGTAATTTCTCCCCTTAATTCTGTTAAACGACGTCCCCCTGCCCCCCCACCCCCGCTCCGCAAATTTAGATATTCCGGCCCCGGAATAGTTATTTGGGGGCATTTTCTAGAAAGAAAATTAGATTGGGCTGCCTCTTCTAATTTGAAATCTATGAACATCCAAGTAAAACTCGATTGACATCTATCTAAAATATGCTGAACCATATCAACATCAAGTTAAAACTAATCAGAATCTATTCAGAACTTCATTCAAATCGAGGAAAACTACAATCAATCAACATCTATGTAAAATCAAGGAAAATCAATCAACATCAATTACAATCGCATTTAACTTTTATATAAACTCACATTTTCAAAAACCAAAACAAATAAATCCTAGGACATCAAAGGGATCCCGAATCCCTTTTGATTCCGTATCATACCCCCTTAAAGAAGTGAGAACCCTCCTATTTGGTTATTAGGTGGCCCCTTCTAAAGTTAGTCTTGCCCTTTTAAAAGTGCTCTTTAGGATTTTCAGGCCCCTGATTTATGACTTGATTTTAGGGGGGGGGTGCAATCTTAAGGCGAACGGATTACATGTGGGGGCGTATAGGGAGACCCCATTTTGTGGAAGCTCCCATTTTTCACTTGGCCGTATCAGTATGGGAGTGATACTTTGACGTATCGCTGGCTAGTAAGGGAAGGATTTTACTTGTGAGCCATATCCTAAACTATAGGGATGATATACGGGACTATTATAGGGCTTATTAAGACGGATACTAAAGGTGAAGACTATTTGTCATCTAGGGACCTCAACAACCACTTAATTCTGAGAATGCGGACGGAGCCTCCAATGAATGTGCGAGTATTAGAATTTTGAACAGGCATGCTATATTGCTGTACTCCTCACCCATGTAAGCAAGATTACATCCATGTAAGCAAGATTACATCCTCCTTTTGACTCTCGTGTTCCAAGAAGTTCTTCATACTACTTGGTGCTACCACGAAACAAAGATTGCTCCTGTGCCTGATGGCAGGTCATTGCCGCACATTGAACTCTAAGATCCCATCCGCGCACTTTGAAGCAGAGGATTGTCGAGCTTTACTTGCTGGTTCTAAGTAGGGAATAAGGGAATATAATCCCGATGAAATACATTTCCCTATATCCCTACTAAGAGCCAGTAAGTTTCGTAGGTTTCTCAAGGCAGGGGTATGTTGAAGATGCTAGGGGTAAACATGTGGGAGTATCTTAGGAATATTTGCAAAAAGCGAGGGATCACTTTCTCAGGGCCCATGCGAGAACATACGCCGCACCCTGGTTTGAGGAGACCCACACAGCTTTGTATTCCTCAGATTGTCAGAGACACCCCAACGATGCTCGACTCTGACTGGCGACCCTGTTGTCCTCTTCAGTTCCGGAGGCTTTCACAGTACAGAGATTGTTTCGGTGCTGCCCAAAGAGGACCCAGCGCAGGATTTCAGTCGAAAAGAGCTTTGTGTTGCTTCATCTGTCCATCAACAGAGCCCGCCTGATTGATGGTCAACATCCTTTCAGTACGGAAATTGGGTACCCCAAGAGAGGATCTACATCAAGGGGTCCAAGTGGTGAGGTCCTCCTCACCCATTCCTGACAGTTCCGCAGACATTTCAGCCCGTAGGGCACGGTGAAGAGTCCCCTGAACGGGTTTAAGGTTTAGGGGCCTTTGTTCTTCTTAGAAAGCCCATGAAAGCCCTCCTAAGTCCCATGCTCCCCAAACCCCAAATCCTAAGCCCTGAGCCCCTCAATCTTAAACCCCTGAACCTTCTTCACCCCTGAACCCTGACTGCCTTTGAAGCATGGACACTCTACACCCAGCTCTGGGTTTAGGATGTCGAAGGACTAGCGCTGTATCAAAATCATAGAGGTGGCTGTAATGACCGTAGGCTCTCTATCCGTAAGAACGGAGACAAAGCAGCGTGGAATACAACTTCTAGCAAGTGTAGCTTTCACGATCATACTGCCGGAATCCTCCAAAACCATGGTGTGGAAGATGGATTGAAACCATTGACGCCATGCCTCGCGGAGGGCATATGGGTCCCCAGCTTAGTTGCGAGTCTAAGTCAAGGCTTTACTGAGCTCCTGTGTGCTTCATGTCGTAGGTTTGTTTAGGGTTTAGGGTATAGTAATAGGGTTACATAGGGATGATGGAACATAAGATACTACTATAGTATAATAGCGTGTATATTGGGCAAGGGATTGTATCATACATCATACTATCCTCAAGTAGGCTGACATGTGCCTTTTGAAGCTACCCAAAGTGACATCGGACCTGCACAAAGCGAAATTGGATCCGTTACTCTCACTATGCCTTGCATGTACCATGAAGCAGACTACGGACCTTCCCCACCTTAGGGTTACATGGGGTTATATTGGGATAGTGGATAGGAAAATAGAAGCTACCATTTGGGGCTTTGGGTTTAAGGTTATGTTATGTCCTGATCGCTGTGGCGGTCTTGGTGTAGAACTTTGGCCAACCTCACTGCAGAGGCATCTGGAGGCCTTTGCCGAAAGACATCTTCAAATCCAGATGGAAGACCTTCTACAAGCTCAGCCACAGGCAGGCATCCAATTACAGTAGCTGTGGCCAACAGAATGATGTTCGTGAAGTTGGAAAGAGGTATCATAGCAAAATCATGACAGCCCCAACGACACTAAAGACACTAGCACAGGCAGCAGCAAACACCACAGCAACAACGAGTATCATCCCGTTGGTAGTAGTATTCAGATGACGAAGAGCAGCAGCAGCAGCAGCAGCAGCAGCAGCAGCAGCAGCAGCACTGGAAGTACTGACTGCTGCCCTATGAGAGCCGGAGTTCACATCGGGGCTTCTTCATGATAAGGATCACATGGAAGGTTTTGCGAATTACTCTTCTGGAACCTTGAACAGGGACTAAACTCTGATAGGAGGCCGAGTACGATTAGGAATCATTGAGCGTTTCAGCTTGCACTCCAATCTGTTGCTTTGTCTTCCGGCCCCTGGCCAACCGAAAACACAACAAAATGTCATAAACTTGTTCATGCTTAGTGTTGCCGTTTGTCCCTGTTTGAGTGTCAGTGTGGCAACAAGCAACACCCGGCCTGTCGGAGTTGCATTTTTTACTTGACCATACGCGGCTTCCCTGCCAAAACTAAATGAGAGGGTCCCTGCCACTGGCAAATGGAAACCTTGGCCACGAGCAGACTTCAAGTTTTCTTTGGATGAATACTGCAACCACTCCAATCCGAGTGCCCAATATAGTTTCCATTTCTTTTCCATAATATAACCCCTTTATACTGTATAGTAGTTTCCATTTTCTTTCCCATCATCCCATGGATCTCCCTAGCCGGGGGCTGGGCAATTTGTAAGATTTTTCAGGTTGCGATAATGGAGACCCACTCCTGGAGCGACTTGAGAAGCTAGATCTCAACGAAGAGGATGGACACAAAAACACATGCCCTATGGATCCAAATAGCCCCATGTAGGTAATATTTACAGACTTTAGGGCCCAATGTAGGTATTATCTATATACTTGGATGCCTGGGGATAGTTGGAGATATCACAGCTTATGTCAGACCCTGAACTCTAGGTCCTAAAATCCTCCAACAAACCTTACTAGCCAGCCTAAACCCAGAACCTGCAACCCTCCCTAAACCCTAAATCCTAAACCCTAAGCCCTAAACCCTAAACCCTAAACCTTAAACCCTAAACCCTAAGCCCTAATCCCTAAACCCTAATCCCTAAACCCAAAAACCATAAAACCCCAAACCTTAATCACTCGATACTCAACGCAGGCCACGCAGCGGCGGAAACTCTATTGACAGAAGGCCGCCCCACATCCAGGCACGCGCAATCCCCAAAGGGTCCATGTACCCAATAATTAGGTACTTGGTTTTAGGCTTAGGTAATAGTCATTATAGTACAGGTTTTGGGAAAGTATATGATTATTATGTACTTGGACCCTTAGGGATCAGTTCCGCAAGTCTACTTTAGGTGGAACCCCCCACCCAGTAACAGTGACTATAAGGGATAATAGCGATTATATAGAGACTATATAGGGACTATAGGGTTCTAGGGTTTTTAGGGTTTAGGGTTCAGGGTTTAGGGTGTAATAGTGACTATAAGGGGTAATAGGCATTATAGTAGGGTCCTCTTGTACTCCTATTATACCACTATTACAGGGTGGGGGGTC